AGCGGCACCAACATCAACAGCATCAACATCGGCATCATTATCAGCATCATCACCATCATCACCCTCGTCATCATCACAGACATCCTCATCCTCATCCTCATCCTCGTCACCCTACCATCAGCATCAGCATCAGTACCACCATCCGCCTAACCACCACCATCATCATTGCCAGCTTCGTCCGCGTCATCACGTGGTCACGGGGCGTGTGGGGGGGGGGGATGGGGCGGCGGTGCCATGCGGGCGGCGCCGCTGTGACCTTAGGTGGAGCCAGCCCCGTACGGGGCAACGAAGCGTTTGAGGACTATTCCGAAATTGGGCGGCGCAGTCATGCGGACGGCGCCGCTGGGACATTCGGCGCCCCCCCCCCCCCCCCTATGGGGCAACGGCACGTGTGAGGGGTGTGCCGACGTGGGGCGGCGATGCCATGCAGACGTCGCCATGGGGACCTTAGGTGGAGCGCCCTATGGGGGTGCCGAGGCGTGTGAAGGGTGTGCCAAACTGGGCGTCGATGAGGGTGACGATAGCGGCGGTGCTGATGCCGATGATGGTGATGATGCCGATGATGGTGGTGATGACGATGATGGTGATGCTGATGATGGTGACGATGCTGATGATGAGGATGCCAATGAGGATTGGTGGTGATGTGGGTGATGATGAAGATGAAGATGAGGCTGAACATGATGATGATGCGATGATGGTGCTGATGGTAACGATGAGTGTGACGAGGTTCATGATGATGAGGACGATGTTCAAGCTAATGATGATACTGATGCTGCTTTTGCTGATGATGCTGATGATGCTGCTGCTGATGCTGCTGCTGGTTATAATGATGATGATGCTGATGATGGTGGTGGTAGTGATGGTGATGGTGATGGATGGGTGAGGAGGGCGAGGAATGTCAGGATGGAGAAGGGGGAGGCGAGGAGAGGAGAGGAGAGGAGATGAGGAAGGAGATGCGGGGCGCTGTCTCCCCAAAACGAGGACCCAATACCACATAATGGTTGGGAACAAGGGATGACGAGGCGAACTGACGAGGCGGGGGGAAGAGGTGGATGAAGGGGGAGACGCAGGCGATGGCGATGAGGAGCACGATGAGGATGCGAGGATGGCAACGATGAGGAGGAACAGGTAGGTGAGGAGGACGAGGAGGACAAGGAGCATAATGATGCGGCGGATGAGGAGTCCTACGAGAACGGTTGGGGGGGATGAGGAGGACGAGGATGAGGATGGGTAGGAGGGCCTCCGCGGGCTCGCCCACGTCGCCATCGGCGGGCGTCGCCTGGGCCTTGCTCTTGGCCCTGCCCCTGCCCTTGCCTTTGCCCTTGCCCTTGCTCTTGGGCTTCTCCGCGCCGTCATCCTTCTTGTCGCCGCCAGCCTTCTTCTTGCCGCCAGCCTTCTTGTCGCCGTCCTTGTCGCCGCTAGCCTTCTTGTCTCCGCCCTTGTCGCCGCTAGCCTTGTCGCTCGACTGGTTGTCGCCCTCGGCGCCGCTGGCCTTCTTGTCGCTGGACTGGTTGTCGCCCTTGTCGCCGCTAACCTTCGCGTCGCCATCTGTGTCGCCGCTAGCCTTCTTGTCGCTCGACTTGTCGCCGTCCATGTCGCCGCTAGCCTTCTTGTCGCTCGACTTGACGCCGCCCTTGTCGCCGCTGGTCTTCTTGTCGCCCGACGTGTCGCCGCATTTGTCGCCGCTAGCCTTCTTGTCGCTCGACTTGTCACCGCCGTTGTCGCCGTCCTCGGTGTTCTTCTTCTTGCGGACGTGCGGGTCCTTCACGTCGGCGTGCTTGATCGGCGACAGCCACCTGTCCCCGTCTTCCCACACGAACACCGCCATGTCGTTGGACGCGGGGAGCGACGACCTGGCTGGGCGCCCGTCCTCAGTCCTGGATGCCCAGCCCTTGTCCAGCACGTAGCCGACAGGTGCCTCATCACGGTCATCCATCTTGGCCTTGCCCTCGGCGTCGCTGACGGAGGTCACCTCGTCGTCGGGCTTGCCGTCGGTCAGCGGGGGCGGGCCACCGCCGCTGCCTGCAGCAGCGTCTGCACCTTCGGGCAGCACTCTACGCAGTTACATGACTTCGAACCTAGCTCCCCAGACTCTCGCCCCCTAGACCGCCATCACCACCGCCCCGAGCTCAGCCCGAGGAGGCCCAAGGCCTAAGAAGGTCGACGGTCTGATGGTCGAAAGTCGGTGGTCTAAGGTGGAAGTTCGAAGGTCCAGGAGCTAGACCCGAGGTCGAAGGACGGAGGGCCGAGGTTCGACAATCGGAGGTCGACAATCGAGTCCCAGGAATCGAGGCTCGACTTCGTGTCGACACCCGCGGGCCGAACTTCAATAATCGATGATCTAGCTCCTCGAGCTTCGGTCTTCGGCCAACGACCATCGTTCCTCGAACTTCGATCGAATCTCGGCCGTCGAACCTCACTCTCCGACCATGTGCCATCGGTCGCAGTCTGAGATTGAGGTTGCACGGCCCAGGTTCAACCAACGATCAAGCTTCGAGGATCGACGATCGCCGTTCGAAGCATCATCGGATTCCCCCCCCCTATGCACCTGGTGGCTGGCTTGGAGGCGCGGACAGCAGGCTGTCATCGCTGTCGTCGCTCCAGGCGAGCACGGCCTTCGGCTTCGCGAGCCTCTGCCTCCTCCTCCTCCTCGTCATCCTTGGCTGGGCGGCGCTGGTGTTGTCGCGCTTCATCTTCTTGGCGAGCTCCTTCGGCACGCGATACTTCAGCCTGGGCCATCATCCTCATCCTCATCCTGATCGTCCTTACTCGCTTCTTCCTCATCTTCCTCACCATTATCATCATCATCATACTCCTCTTCCTCATCATCATCCTCATCATCTTCCTTGTTCCTCTTCCTCGTCGTCCTCTTCCCCACCGCCCTCATCCCCTTCATCTTGCTCATCATCGTCATCCTCATCCGCGTATGATAATAGATTTCGTATTCATGTTCCCCACCCTCATCATTACCAGCTTCATCGCCCGCACCACCCGCATCCTCTTCCTCATCATCAGCATCATCATCAGCATCATCATCATCAGCATCAGCATCATCATCACCACCATCATCATCTCCATCATCATCATCATCATCATCATCATCCTCATCATCCTCATCATCATCATCATCATCATCATCATCATCATCATCATCATCATCATCATGATCATCAACATCACCCTCTTCCCGATATAGCCTTATTCTTGAACCTCCTCATCCTCCTCCTCAGCCTTGCCCTCACCCATTACACATACTCCCATCTTCATCCTCCTCCTCATCACCCTCGTCATCCTACTCCTCCTTGCCTCGCACTCCTCATCCTCGTCCTCCTCGTCATTGCCCCCATCCTCATCCTCGTCCTCCTCGTCATTGCCCCCATCCCCCTGGCCTGACCACGCGCCGCCAGCCCGCCACCGTCTCCAGAATCTTGCGCGCCTCCGCGCAGATCTTGGTGCCCGACTCCCCCTTGAGCACCTGGGCTGCCCGCTGAGTAGTAGGTAGTAGGTAGTAGGTAGTAGGTAGTAGGTAGTAGGTAGTAGGTAGTAGGTAGTAGGTAGTAGGTAGTAGGTAGTAGGTAGTAGTAGTAGTAGTAGTAGTAGTAGTAGTAGTAGTAGTAGTAGTAGTAGTAGTAGTAGTAGTAGTAGTAGTAGTAGTTTAGTAGTAGTAGTAGTAGTAGTAGTAGTAGTAGTAGTAGTAGTAGTAGTAGTAGTAGTAGTAGTAGTAGTCGTATAGTAGTAGTAGTAGTAGTAGTAGTAGTTGTTGTAGTTGTAGTAGTAGTAGTAGTAGTAGTAGTAGTAGTCGTGAAGTAGTAGTAGTAGTAGTAGTTGTTGTTGTTGTTGTAGTTGTAGTTGTAGCAGAATAATACATCGCAGCCCGTAGCGTAGCGCGTAGCCGTAGTCCCGTAGTCGTAGTCGCAAGTCCGCAAAGTCGTAGTCGTATTCATAGTCGTAGTCGTATTCGTAGTCGTGGTCCGTCGTCGTAGTCCGTAGTCGTAGTCGTAGTAGTACTAGTATGGTAGGGTAGTAGTAGTAGTAGTAGTAGTAGTAGTAGTAGTAGTGTCCGGTATTATAGTAGTATTACAGTAGTAGTAAGTAGTAGTAGTAGTTAGTAGTGTAGTAGTAGTCCGTATTAGTAGTGTGGTAATAGTAGTAGTAAGTAGTCGTAAAGTCGTAGTAGTAGTAGTAGTAGTAGTAGTAGTACTACTACTACTAGTAGTAGTAGTAGTAGTAGTAGTAAGTAGTAAGTAGTAAGTAGTAGTAAGTAGTAGTAGTAGTAGTAGTAGTCGTAGTCGTAGTAGTAGTAGTAGTAGTAGTAGTAGTAGTAGTAGTAGTAGTAGTAGTAGTAGTAGTAGTAGTTGTAGTAGTAGTAGTAGTCGTAGTCGTAGTAGTAGCAGAAGAAGAAGAAATCGCAGCCGTAGCCGTAGCCGTAGCCGTAGTCGTAGTCGTAGTCGCAGTCGCAGTCGTAGCCGTAGTCGTAGTCGTAGTCGTACTCGTAGTCGTGGTCGTAGTCGTAGTCGTAGTCGTAGTCGTAGTAGTAGTAGCAGTAGTAGTAGTAGTACTAGTAGTAGTAGTAGTAGTAGTAGTAGTAGTAGTAGTAGTAGTAGTAGTAGTAGTAGTAGTATTAGTAGTAGTAGTAGTAGTAGTAGTAGTAGTAGTAGTAGTAGTAATAGTAGTAGTAGTAGTAGTAAGTAGTAGTAATAGTAGTAGTAATAGTAGTAGTAAGAAGTATCGTAGTAGTAGTAGTAGTTAGTAGTATAGTCGTATAAGGAGTAGTAGTAGTATATATCGTTAGTATAGTATAGTAGTAGTAGTAGTAGTAGTAGTATTAGTGGTAGTGGTAGTATTAAGTAGTCGTAGTCGTAGTAGCAGTAGTAGTAGTAGTAGTAGTAGTAGTAGTAGTAGTAGTAGTAGTAGTAGTAGTAGTAGTAGTAGTAGCATAGCATAGCATAGCATAGCATAGCAGAGTCATCCTACCCCACCGCTATCCTCGCCCGATGCACCTTGGCGACTGCGGCCTCGTACGTGGTGAGCTCAACCTTCAGGTCGGGCTTCACTCGCCGCAGCGCTTTCACTACCCTCCAGAAGCCCGACCGCAGGAGGTAGTCGCACAGCCCCCCTCAGGGATGCAAACCGCGCTGGCACCGATGCCACAACCCCCTCACCCAACTCCACGCCCACCCCCCTGTGGGAGGGATGGCCGTGGTGAGGGCGGGGGGTCGAGGCATCGGCGCCAGCGCGGTTCATATCTTCGGGCCTGTTTTTTTCTGGCCGCCCGCGTTCCACGCGCAGAGGATGGGCCCGTGAGGGCTGGTCTGCACCTTCCGGTATCGTTTAACCGATCCCTATCCCCATCCCCATCCACATCTCGAGCCACACCGTACCACCACCTCAAGTGGGGATATGTCCCTCGAAACTCGAAGAGAGCAGCCTATACGTATAGGCTGCTCTCTTCGAGAAGGAACTGAGGTGGTGAGACGGCGGGGCTCGAGATGTGGATGGGGATGGGGATGCGGATCGGTTAAACGATGCTCAACCTTGGCCAGCTGCAGCGCCGCGGCGACCTGATCCACCTCCTCCATGGCGGGCGGCGACGCGGGCGACGCGGGCGGCGACGCCCGCGGGCGGCGGCGCGGCCAGGGCCGAGTGGGCTGCGAGCCCCACGTTACTTGGGGCCTTCTGTGGAGCTCCCTACATAGGGGCACGGAGCGCTTGCGCCCCTCCCTCTCACCTATCTTCCTCCTCCTCCCTCCCCCTTCTCCTCCCCCTCCTCCTCCTCCTCCTGATCCTCCTCCTCCCTCCGCCTCCCTCCTCCTCATCCTCCTCCTATTCCTACTCCTCCTCCTCCCTCCCTCCGCATCCCTTCTTCTCCTTCTCTTCCTTTTCCTCCTTCTTCTCCTCCTCCTCCTCCTCCTCGCAGTCCTACTCCTCCTCAACCTCCTCATCCTTCTTCTCCTCCTCCTCCTCCTCCTCCTTCCCATCCTCCGCCTCGCCCTCCTGATCCCTCCCCCTCCCCCCTCCCATCCTCCTCCCCTCATCCTCCTCCTCCCTCCCTCTCCTCCTCCTCCTCCTCCTCCTCCTCCTCCTCCCATCCCCCTCCTCCTCCCTCCCTCCTCCTCCTCCCTCCGCCTCCCTCCTCCTCCTCCTCCTCCTCCACCTCCTCCTCCTCCTCCTCCTCGCCTCCTCCTCCCCTCTTCCTCCTCCTCCTCCTCCTCCTCCTCCTCTCCTCTCCTCTTCTCCTCCTCCTCCTCCTCTCCTCCTCTTCCTCCTCCCCGCCTCCCCCTCCGCCCCCCCCCCCCCTCCACCTCCTCCTCCTCCTCCTCCTCCTCCTCCTCCTCCTCCTCCTCGTCATTATCCCCCTCGCCCTCCCCCCCTTCCCATCCCGCATGCGTAGGCGCCATCATTTCAGCACACCCTTAACACGGTTCGTGGCCACATAGGGAGTTCCATCGAAGGTCTCATTGGCGCGGCCCGTATGCATGCTACATCCGCGCCACTCCTTGCGGCATAGCCCTCACACGTTTCCTGCGCCCAGAGGTGTTGGGAGCCCCCACCGAACATCCAAGTGGGGCAACCCACATGTGTCCGTGCAACTTTTTTCGGCACACCGCTCACACGCGTCGTGGCTCCATGGGGAACTCCACCGAAGGCAACCGCGGCGCAGCCCGCACGCGTTCGCACCACCCATGCTTGCGCACTCCTCACGCGTTTCGGGGCACTTCAGTCTCCACCGATGCCTCTGTGGCGCAGCCTGCATGCGCCCGCGGCACCCATCTCGCCACACGTCTCACACGCTCCGTTGCCCCATATGGAGCCCCACCGAAGGCCCCAGCGACGCAGTCCGCATGCGTTCGCGGCGCCTATTTCGGCACACCCCTCGCACGTTTCGCGGCCATTTGGGAGTGCAACCGAATGTCCCATCGGCGCAGCCCGCCTGCGTCCACCTCGCCCATGTATTTCGGCGCAACCCGCACACGCTTCGTGGCCACATTGGAAGCTGCACATGAGATCCTTGCGGTTGTCCACGCGCGCGCTTGCCCCGCCCGTTCCGACACGCCCCTCGCATTTGTTCGTGCGCCCATTTGGGGCCTCCACCGAACGCCCCAGCTGCCCTCATCACAAGCGTTCCCTCCATAGCCCGCATGCGCTACCCGCCCCATGCTGGCACACCCCTCACGCGGTTCGTACCCCTCACGCGGTTCGCGGCCCCATCGGGCGTATCTCTTCGTCTGCCCCGCTTGTCCTGCGGCATTCACAATTGCACATGGTTGGATCCTTCGCCAGGGTAGCTATTCGAATGTGCTAATCTGTTTTGTGTTCGCTGTCTCCTGCCGCTGTTATTGGCCCCCACCCCCATGGTGGTTATGCCACCGCGCGTTGTCGTCGTTGGTTTTACTGGCGAGGAGCTTGGCGTTGGTGTGAACCCAATCATACGCATGCGGGCGGCGGTGCCACTGAGGCGTTCGGGGAAGCTCCGTATGGGCCGCACCGCGTGTGAGGGGGTGTGCCAATATTAATGTGGGGGGCGCATGCGGGCGGTGGAACTGCTGCTTTCGGTGGAGCTCCCTTTCGGCCACGAAACGTGTGAGGGGTTTGCCGACATTTACGTTCGGTGCGCATGCGGGCGGTGGCATTGGGGCCTTCGGTGCCCCCTTGACCACGAATCGAGTGAGGGGTGTGCCGACATGGGTGTGGGGACGCATGCGGGCGGTGGCACTGAAGCATTCGGTGGAGCTCTCCCTGGGGACACGAAACGTGTGAGGGGTGCGCCGAAATTAGGGGGGACGCATGCGGGCGTTGGCATTGGGCCCTCTGGTGGAGCTCCCTATGAGTGGTCTGCCGAAATTGGTGTGGTGGGCACATGTGGGCGGTGGCACTGGGGCTGTCGGTGGAGCTCTCTAGGGCCACGAAACGTGTGGAGTCCGTGTGGAGGGGTGTGCCGAACTGGGTTTGGGTGACGCATAAGTGGTCGGTGGCACAGGGGCCTTCGGTGGAGCTCCCTATGAGGCCGCGCAATTAACGTGTGAGGGGTGTATCGAAATGTTGGTGGGTGGCGAAGGCGAGCGGTGGCACTGGGGCCTTCGGTGAAACTCCCCAAACGTGTGAGAGGTATGATGGCATGGTAGGGCGGGCACATGCGGGCGTTGCCACTGGGACCTTCGGTGGGGCTGCCTCATAGAAGCGTGTGAGGGGTGTTCTGAAGTGGGCGGCGCAGACGCATGCGGGCGGCGCCACTGGGACCGATCGAACACCCCATGAGACCACGCTGTGTAAGGGGGATGCCGTAACCAGTAGCGCGGACGCATGCGGGCGGCGCCATTAGGACCCTCGGCGAAACTCCCTACGGGGTGTGGCGCGGACACATGCGGGCGGCGCCATTGGGACCGTCGGTCGAGCCTCTTATGGGGCCACGAAGCGTGTGACATGTGCCGAACCAAGTGGCGCGGACACATGCGGGCGGCACTACTGGGACCTTCGGTGGGGCCTCCCATGGGGCCACGAAACCTGCAAGGAATGCGCCAAAATGTGCGGCGCGGACACATGCAGGCGGCACCACTGGGACCTTCGGAAGAGCTTCCCACGGGGCCACGAAACGTGTGATGGTTGCGGGAGGCGGGTCTTCAGAATCGCCGTCATCGTCGTCATCATCATTGCTATCATCACGATCATCACCAGTGTTGTCGTCATCGTCATCGTCATCATGGGCATCATCACCATAATCACAGTACTGTCGATCACCATGATCATCACGATCACCTTTGCCATCATCGCTATCATCATCACCTTCCTTACCACCACCATTATCGCCGTTATCGCTACCTTCATCGTCATCATCATCATCCTCCTCCTCCTCCCCCCATCAGCATCAGCATCAGTATCAGCATCATCAGTATCATCAGCATCATCCTCATCATCATCGTTTTCGTCGTCGTCATCGTCATCATGTACATCATCGTCACCATCATCATCATCATCATCAACATCATCATCATCATCAGCAGCAACATCAGCATCAGCCTTCCGGAAGGAAGGTCACTTCTCTCATTTTTGGGTATATATCTCGGTGTCTGTGGATGTCTGTCGATGTCTTGCGTGTCTGTGGATGTCTTTGTTGTGTCTTTCTATTGTTTGCGAATTGTAATTAATTGCAGATGATGATGATGCTGATGATGATGCTGATGATGATGATGATGATGATCATCATCATCATCATCATCAGCATCATCATCAGCATCATCATCATCTGCAATTAATTACAATTCGCAAACAATAGAAAGACACAACAAAGACATCCACAGACACGCAAGACATCGACAGACATCCACAGACACCGAGATATACCCAAAAATGAGAGAAGTGACCTTCCTTCCGGAAGGTGCGGAGGGTGGAGGGCGAGGGAAAAACGAACCCGATTTAGCCCTGACCCGAATTACCCCTGATGATTCAGGGGTGTGTCTCCCTCGAGCGTGCTTCTTCGCACGGGGAACGCGCGAGAGCACATGCCGCGGCCTCGTTCTTCCAGCGCAAGCCTGGAGAAGACGGGGGGGAGGAGGGAGGAGGGGCTGTGCGCGACGCATCAAACGTACGCGCGTGCACTCCGTGTCTGAGCGCGGCAGAGCTAAAGCTGATAGTTGAGCATACCTGCCATGGCGCCATGGACATCGGCAACACATGCAAACCGACAAAGAAAAGACACCCGCAAAGCGCACAACGTGAGGCAGCCCGAGTTGCAGCGGCCGCGCGGAGAGCCCTGCGAGGTTCAGAAATTCAGCAAGCGCATAAGCGCAAGATGGCCGGTAATGCCAAGATGAAAACGAGTGCTTGCTGTTGCACGCGGAACGGCCTGTGACCAGCAGCAGCCAGAGCCAGAACTGACTCAGTGAACGTGTCGCCGTCAACCTGCAGCATGACGTCAGGAACCCATCCGAATCGTCTCAGCATGCAGGAGAAGACGCACAGCGCGCAGATGCTCGAGGGAGGGTGAGGCGAGCGGCGGACATCACAATCTCATGCACCACTCCGCCAGCCCACAAGACGAACGAATCGCTGGCCGGGAAAATCGGGAATACCGCGCGCACCGCCCGGCACTTGGCAAGGCTCGGGGCCCCGCTGACGGGGACTGCCTGCTAAGCCGGGACGCTGGCGCACCCGAGAGAAGCTGCAGCCGCGGGCTGAAGCGCTCTTCGCTCTGCGTTCTCTCCAGCTGGATTGCTCGAGCTCCCGGTGTGCATCGTCCTGGCTTCCAGGGCCCTCGGCGTACGCGGTGAGACCCGGCCCAGACACGAAAGCAGCACTGGTCGCACGCACAAGCAGCTCGAGGCCCAGGCAACATATAATTTTAATATAAGGCAATGGCGAGCATCAACCCAGCGCGCCATCCATCCTCCTACTTAACCGCCACCGTGCCCTTGAGGCACGAGTTGGAGTGTTCTCAGGCTCCTCGCTTACGCTTCAGCCCCCAATCCTGAGGATTCTTCAAGAGGCCCCGGCCCAACATTCCCGAACCTCTTCGGGCGCGTCGCTTGGCCCAAAGGGCTCCCCGCGTCCTGTCGCGTGACGGGCGCAAGAGGGCCCCAGGACG